AAACTGATTTTGTATGATCTTGTGTTTTATTAAGCAAATTTGTTTATACAAGTTTTAGGTCGTGTTGGAAGCTTAAAGCTTATTGGAACACTAGAAGCTGTTATTGGAACCATCCAGAGCTTAGCAATGAATGTAAAGTCTCTTGCTCATGGAAACAACTGGTTGCCACTGATGGGATTTGAACCCACGCAGGATACAATCCTTATGTCTGATGCATTACCAACTTGGACACCACTTTAATTTCCATTTGTTGATGCACAATGACAAACACTGGACCTCAAGTGTCCTAGTGAGGTTCAATAAAATCAGAATACACCAATGTTTCATAAAGAATATTTATTCATTTCTAAAAATAGAACAAATCTAGAAATGTTTCAGTTGCTTATTTTATTTATTTACTAATTAAAAATAGGTTAGAGAAAAATCCATGAAATATTTTCAAATTTATACATCTATTGCAGTATACTATACATTATAACAATTCATGTATATATCATCAACTGTCTACTGGATTTTGAATTACGGTAGCAGGCATAAAAACAAGATAACAGTTTAAACTAAGAACATGTTAGCAAAAAGATAACTATAAAGGAAAAAAAAAGAAGTCAGTTTGATTATCTTTTTATTCCCAGTTTCTGTGGAGTCTTGGCTTTTTACTTATGGTACAACCATTCCCTGCAGAATCTCTTAAATGGACTTGTCAAGCTTCCATTTTCGGGATTGTCCATTATCAATTTTGGAGATATCAGGATGAAAATTTAAAGTAGGTGAGTATTGTTAAACTGCACAGATGTTCTAGACTAAAAAAGTGTTGGAGCACCACACTAAATACTGTATTCTGCATTTTACCTGACAAAGAGCTTGAATGATCAAAGGCAAAATCACGCCTTTTACCCATCAAAATTCACCGAAATGTCTTATTAATCTCTTCACATCGATTTATAGATGATGATTAATAAAAATATGATAATTGATGGGGAAAAAAACCCCGATATTTTTCTACTTTGTGATCATGATTTCTGCAAGTATCTAGAGGTACTGCTCCAACATTGTAGTGAGTTAAATCCATGTTCTATACTGGTGGCTTAAGTTTCATGTCCTGCAGGCAAAGGGTTCATCACAAGCAGTCATATACTGGTGGGCAGTAGTGAAATAATAACAAAGTATATTTGATTGCTAAAAATCTAGATCTTTTATAACCATCAATTGTACAATAAAAATTTGAATTACACATAAGGTACATAATAAATACTTACAGTGACAAATGGAAAAATAACATTTCAAAATGAAATATAATGTATAAAGGTTAAACATAAAAATTAAAGAAACACTTATCAAATTCCTTTGCAACATTTTGGAAAGTAAGTTTGAAAAATAGGATTTATGACATTATTTAAGTTTGGGAGAAACAAAATGACATGATTTAAGTTTGGGAAGAAACAAATCGACATGAATTAAGTTTGGGAAGAAACAAAACGACATGATTTAAGTTTGGGAAGAAACAAAACAACATGATTTAAGTTTGGGAAGAAACAAAACAAATTGACCATTTCTGATTTTTATGAAGTAAACAATCATATTATCACAGGCTGTATACAACAGTAAATTGTATGTTACTAACATTACAAATGTCACATAAATTATAATTATTAAACAATAAGGCTGATTATGTAGGACACCTATAAAAGTACACATATAATTATGATAGACAGAGGTTGAATCTAATACATATAATTGCTTGTTATAATTGAGATTAAATTCTGTCCAATAACATTGATACTGACTAGATTAAAACTTAAGCTGACCAATCATAGATAAGGTTTTATATCCGAAATTAACAACTATTGATATTAAAAATAATTTCACTTTTGCTGTTTAATTGGTAAAGAACCAGGTTGATATGCCCAAGATTGCAGAGTGACGAACTTTGGTATGTAATATTTTTTTAGATCATTTTCATATATTATATTATAACATACTGCAACAAGACCCTAATTTTTCCCTATTGGACACACAAAGACCGAAAGTGTATGTAAATATCCAATAAAGTCACTGGTGACTATCTATTTTTAGACTTGTGACGTAACCATAAAAAGTGTGACTTGCTAAAAGTATGGAAACAAATTGGGCACAATTTAGCTTGGTATCGGATCAGGTACAGCAGCATTTATTTGATGAGGTTTGTGTTAGAATCAAAATAATATATCTGAAGCAGTGATTTTATTGCTTTATAAAATCACTGTTTGTCATTCAGATGGGCAGCATTATATCACAGGGGCTATGCCTCGCATCCAAACTTCAAACAGTAATTTTATTTAGCAATAAAATCACTGTTAGGGATATATTATTTCTTATTCTAACACGACTCGCATTTTTCACTATTGAATATAGAAGAACCGAAAGTGTGTGATATTATGCAATAAAGTCACAGTTGACGTTCTAGATTTAGATATGTGACAATCATTATACATGTGACGTAACCACTAACAGAATCAAATGCGCTGAAAATAAGTACGGAAACAAATCCGGCGCAATTTTGCTTAATATCAGGTACGGCAGCATTTATTTGTTGATGTCTTGTTAGAATCAAAATAATATATCCAAATCGGTGATTTTATCGCTTGATAACATCACTGTTTGTCGTTCGGATGCGCATCAATTTGTTGAATCAAAACTCCAAACAGTGATGTTATTGAGCGATAAAATCACTGTTTGGGATATATTATTTCTTAAATCAATTCTTTTATTTATAGATTCTCTAGTTTATTATAAAGCCATGATGATATACTGCATTTATGATCATTTTATATAAAATATTTCCTCACATCGTGACAGCCTTGTATGACATGTAAATTGTGTCAACGTTTGATCTATTGAATCCAACGTTCGCTGAAAATGCATTCAACATACTATTTGTATAAGTTAAATAATGTTGATCAATAATTCTTTTTTAATGATTCCTATGTATTGAGCAAATACGAAATAACATATTAATGACTTTGGTTTGGATTGTATTATCATAATTCAATGTAAAATGTAACAAAAATTTTATTACTTGTACAATAATTTGTAATACATGTGTAAATAGTGATACAATCATGATATATAAAAAGGTTTTTGTATCAAAAATAATTTCCAAGTTGACCATGTTAACTTTAATAAAAAACAAGCAATTATCATAGTATTGCAAGCAATCCATAAGTCCCCTACCGGTAAGAGCCCAAGCAACATTCTGAAGGGCCATTGGCCATTCACTTATGTTCCTATTTTAAGTAAATTTGTTGAAAAAGTTCTTTAAAAGTGATCACAAAAACAGTTTTTATGTACAGACAGACGGACTGAAGGACACTCTAAAGTTATTTTTTAAACATCCCTGTTATCAAAATATAACATTTTTAAAATCCTATCATGATTGAAGAAGTTGGAGTAAAAATTACCAATTTCTCAAAAAAAAAGTCTAAGTTCAAAAGGGGCATAATTCTGGAAATAGTCTTGCTAGAGTAATGAACACTCACAAATGTTGAGTGATAATAAGAAACATTTATATGAAGTATGAAGTAGATACATTCAGAAAATGAAGTTAATAAAAAAAAAACAATATTTTTTTCATGAAAATTTTAAGTTCAAGGGAGGTAATTCTGATAAATTTTGTGCTAGAGGTGTAAACCTTGTCACATATGATGTGGTTGACGACAAGCAATTTATATTTAAAGTTTGAAGAAAATACCTTAAGAAATAAAGAACTTATAGTGAAAAAACTTAAAAACTAGAATCAGAATCTTGAAATTCAGTCTATTTCTTGCCATAGCAACCAGAATTTTCAACATAGGAAGATAAGAAAAGGATGTGCATAATTTCCATACTGCCATCTACCCATATGTCAAGTTTCATAAACATATTTTCAGTACTTTTTGTGTTATCACTGGATCCAGGTTATGTGTAAAATTTGCCATATTTTCAGTCTATTTGTTGCCATAGCAACCAGAATTTTCAACATAAGAAGAAAAGAAAAAGACGTGCATAATCTCCATACTGCCATCTATCCATATATCAAGTTTCATAAAAAATATTTTCAGTACTTTTGTGTTATCGCGGGATCCAGGTTATGTGTAAAATTTGCCATATTTTCAGTCTATTTGTTGCCATAGCAACCAGAATTTTCAACATAGGAAGAAAAGAAAAAGACGTGCATAATCTCCATACTGCCATCTATCCATATATCAAGTTTCATTAAAATATTTTCAGTACTTTTTGCGTTATCGCGGGATCCAGTTTTGTGGACGGACGGACTGACGGACGGACAGACAGACAGACAGACGGACAGACGGACGGAGGGTAAACCTAAAGTCCCCTCCGGTAAACCGGTAGGGGACTAATAAGCTAGAGGAAATGCAAGTAAATCATAATGTTCACAGTATTTTTTTTTTAAAGTGCCAAAAGCTATATTACTACTAACAATAGAGGTGAAAAGTGTTTTCTTTAACCTTTTTAAGGATATATGGTTAAGGTGCATTAAAATATTTCATCAAGAAAATATTCAAATATGAACAGTAAGAAATGTAAGAAACAATTTATTTAATACAAACTCAAATTTTTCATTAAAGTGAATAGGTCTACAATGGGCACATTATCCATAAGTATTTAAAAGCTCGGTAAAAACAATAGCAATATCATTTTGATATTCTTGCAAAATGTTGCTTGAAAAAAATGTTAATAAAATTCTAAGTGATTTAGAATGAACATATGAGCCGCGTCACGACAAAACCAACATAGTGCGTTTGCGACCAGCGTGGATCCAGACCAGCCTGGGCATCCGCGCAGTCTGATCAGGATCCATGCTATTCGCTTACAAACTCTATTACAAATAGAGAAACTAATAGCGAACAGCATGGATCCTGATCAGACTGCGCGGATGCGCAGGCTGGTCTGGATCCATGCTGGTCGCAAACCCATTATGTTGGTTTTGTCGTGACACAGCTCATATATGATGAATAATAATATTTAACACATTTTATTATTTGCTATATAAATATATGTAATATATCGAGTAATGTATCTCGCATTTGCCTACAACTTCCATGTATTACTCTTGGTTTGTTATTATGTCTAATACTAACATATATCAGCGTAATAATTCATTGTGTAACAGACCTCAGTGTAATAATTCATTGTGTAACAGACCTAACATTATAGACCAATTTACTTTAATCTTAGTTCAATTTCAGTTTATGACGCTAGTAAGTTTACACAATGAATTTATTAAGATACATAATTCACTGATAAGACCAATGTATTTATTAATTAGCACCAAATTAAAATAATATGTTTAATTACAAATATTTATTGTTGTTATTATTACTGGGATATTCGTCATTCAGATTTAGTTCAGGTATTCATTTATTCAAAGATCACTTGATTACGTCTCACACTTCTGAAAAATTCTAACTCTTTAAATTATGTATTAAATCTAAAAAAGAAATTATTTTTTTTTTGTTTTACTGTTATATATATACATTTGTAATTTGGTTCATTTTCAATTAATTTCTTTATCTTAAATTTGAGTATAACTGTGCCAAGATAAGATGTTTAAGGTATAGCTTCAAGATAACTTTGTTTCATATTTCCATTGTTCAACACTACAATGAGCAATGACATACGGTAACACAACATATTCTTACAACAACATACATCTCTGTTATATAACTATATAGTCTTGTTAACATTCTTACTCAATAAATGAGATGAAATCTTGAAATAACCAGTACATAGTACAGTGTATATTTCTTAAACATGTTCTCTATGATTGTCTCTAGGATCAATCTTAACTGGGATCAATAACTTCTTTATAAAATACACAGGTTTGACAGAATTTAAAAAAGAAAATAACCCTTTTTGCTTATTAATATATAACATTTTTTAGTTAAGTCACTCATTCTCGCAGTGCATTAAATTTTGATGAAACTCTGGAAGAAAAAACTTTTTGGATGTTTGTAAACTGTTGTTTTTTTCTGTATTAATAAATACACAGCATTGATAATAATTCACACATAATGTTTAATTCATCCTCCATTCTTACAACCTCTACACTAGTTGTGCACTTGAACTTGAAATTACAATAATGCACTCAAAATTGATATCTATTTCCTAATTAAAGGATTGAAATATGTATAGAATATAACATACATTCTCTTATTCATGAAACATAACACTCATTAAACAATATATAATTGTACCCATGTTTCTTTATACAGTATATGCAAAATATATATTTGTCTAAACAAATTTTATCACATGCACTTATATTGACCTAAATTGTCTCTGAAGCAGACAGACATGCAATGTACAAAAGGAATGAGACCAGTCTCAAATAAGCTGCTTTCTGATTGGTTGTTTTGTCTTCTTTTATTTAAATTCAAGTAAATCAACCAATGATAATGAGCCAATTCCAGACTGGTTTGAAATAACAAGTATACAATATATCAATGGGTCTCCGATGCTTATTTTACTTGGGTCCTGTTAAATATAAATAATAGGTATAAATAACCATGTTATTTTTATCATTATTTGGATAAGAATATTTTTCTACAAATTTATAAATCAAGTACATGAAATTTTTAGTCTTTAGTTTTTAAAGCTGGTTTCCATTTTGTGCTTTTTCAACCTGTACAAATAGGTGAACATTACTGTTTTGTCCACTAAATGATCATTCATATTTACAAACTAAATTTATTAGATTTACACAAAGTTTGGAAAGTCACAGTTGAACCCATTTTGTATTGCAGAACTCCTTTGGTGCCGATTTTAGAAGAAAAGAAAAGGTAACTCTTCAACTCCAGACATCACAAGAGTAACGTCCCTTGTTTTGTAGTTTCTTAATATAGTCTGCAGCTTTGGTTGAGTCCATGCCGCCACATTCCTGTATAATGTAGGTCAGTGTGTCATGTACATCCCTGGCCATATTCCTAGCATCCCTGCATGACAAAAAATCTCATATTAAAAAAAATTACCTCTATCACTGCCTTCTATATTTTAGAAAATATATTATTATGTGTAATACCTTGTCAGAATCTATACTGGTGGAAAAGGTTAATCACTTCTAGATCCAGTAGCAGTGGGAGAAAAAATTGCATGATCACAGAATGAATGAGAACCAATAATGGCTAAAATCAATTCAGCATCAAAATCAACAATTCACATGAAGCTATTATTTTTACCTTTGATATAATCAATATCTACATTTAAAAGTAAAACATGTTCTGATCACCGAACAACAATAGGAAAATTTGAAGTGTGTAATTCACTCTACTTTGGACAGCCCGATAATTATTTTCAATTGAATAAAAACCTAATTAAAAATACATTGAAAACAGTCAACATGGAAAAAAAACAGACTAAAAATACACATTATCAGTATTTTTTTTTCCCAATACTTTTGTTTGAGGTTGTTAGCACTTTTTAAAATTTAAAAATACATCAGATTGTACTTGCTGCATTATTTCACTGCAATGACCTGGCTAAAACCACCAATCTTCCATACACTACTCGAACAAAAAAATCAACATATTACATGTAGTTGGAATTTGACTCCCAGCATGCTAAAAGGGGCTTACAATTTTAAGTAAGCTACCTCTTATCTAAATATTATACACTATAGCCTCTATACAGCAGAAAAATATTTTTGTAGTTTTTATATATGACACACATATTTCTATTTATATATTACTATCAACACTATAGGCATCTTGTACTTACCCGCATACATATAAATGTCCTCCAGATTCCAATAACTTCCATGTTTCTTCTGCATTCTTTTTCAGAAGATGCTGAACATATTCTTTCTCTGCCTGGTCACGAGAGAATGCTAGATGCATCTTCGTCAATGTGCCGTTCTTCTCGTATTCTTGTAACTCATCCTCATAAATGAAGTCCTCTGCTTGCTTTCGACAACCAAAATATAACACAGTGTCTCCCACTGGTTTACCTGTACAGAGTTAACAATTAATGTAATGTCTAAACCAGTCATTTGTCTACCTAACAACCACTTCATGGGTCATTTGTACAATGCTACAATTGTACAGGTTTCCATGTCAGATAAAAACTTATTTTCTAATTAATAAAAACAAAGAGCAGACTTGCACATTTTGCTGCTAAAATTGCCAATTTTTTAAAAGTTTGTTTGTGACTAACAGTAACCTTATTATAAACTTTGCAAAAATTAAATAATGAAGTTCAAAATAGTCATATGAAATTTTATCAACTATTCAAATTTTCATCTTTTTGTAGCTTATGACACAACTATAAACCTGGATAAAAATAGTCCACCTTTAATTAACACAAACCCTATTACTAAACAGAAAACTTAAAAATATATTTTGAATAACTCAATCTTGATCATTTGAAGATGAATAAAGTAAATAAATCTTGTCTCAAGTTGTTACATACCCTCAGTTTTGAGGAAATGTCTCTCTTGTAAAAACCCACGGAATGGTGCAAGTCCTGTCCCAGGTCCAATCATTAACACTGGCATGTTTGTCTTGAATGGTAATCTGAACTGTGACTTCCTATAATAAAAATCACAAAAATAACAGAAATACATAAATTAACAGATTTTTTTTTTACCACAACAGTAAAAATTCATTTGTTTGATTAAATCTAACAATTTCTTAACCTACAAATATGTTCATGCATGAATATTTTTTCTGAAGTAAAACAATGGGGTTCTGTATTTATTGAATGACAAGTGACTGTAAAGTTACAAAATATTATGTTCCAAGGACCTTATGATTAGTATGTGTTGCTTTACAAGTTTTCTTTTGTTCAATTTGATAAATTTGGTCCCTACATAATGGCCCAAAATCCAATTCAGTTTGGGGGGTAACTTTGCACCAGGAGAACTAAATTGGCATAAAAATGAGACACTGACAATTAATGAAATATACGCATTGAAATAGATTTACAAACCTGACATAAATTGGGACTGTGTATTTGGTGCCATTATCAGGTTTCATGGTGGCCATCCAGTTAGTCGCTACTCCTTTAGCAGTGCGACCAGTTTTGGTTTCATATTTAACAACCACAGCTGTTATAGAAATACTTGTAGGATGTTCCTGAAACAAGAAAAATTGTTCATTGTTTTTAACCGTGCCAGAATGCATTTGTTTATTGAACTTTCCATACTGGAACCCAAAGTGATCAGCCTTTGCCACCAGTATAGAGCCAGGCCAGCCTGCACTTCCCTGCAGACACTATACTGTTGGTTGACCAGCTTCTGATTTTTATCATGATAGCCCTAAAATTGGACAGTTTCAAAAATGAAAACTTGACAATCCAATTAAATGGTATAAAGTTATACTAGTAACTTATGAAATATTTTGTTAAATTTATCAACAGTAAAATTATACTGTTTCCATAAGATGCACAACTACACATGCTGATCAACATTCCTGTGAAGTTTCTTAAATCTAGGTCAAATACTTTTTGAGTTAAGCAAGACACAAGTTGAAAATTACAATTTTTTATTTAATTAGTCAAAACAAAACTAACCAAACTGAATTAATCCACATGTAAAACCCCAGGTGCACGATCAACATTTTTGTAGTTTGTTGACTCTAGCTCAAGCACTTTGAGAGCTACAAGTAAAACAGCATGGGACCCACAAACATGTAAGGATGGACAAATCATATAAATAAATATTGAATAACATCATGTTAAGACTCTAATGTTAATATCTTGGACTGTAATTTTTTTTTTCAGTTTGTTTATATTATCTCTTACCTACATCATTTCAAAGGGACAAATAATCTACAAACATGTAACCAAATTTTGGAAGAGAAATATTTCTATTCTAGAAAAAAGGAAAAACCTTATCAGTCAGTCAAGCTCGTCTGAAAGCAACATCTTTTTCTCCATGATGCATATAATGATCGTATTTGCCTTCCATGCATCAAAATAGTAAACATCACAAAAATCAACCTAACAAGCATACATATTTAGTATCATTCAGCATCATTCAGTGAATTACTGAATTTAAAATCTATAGGTCACTGTTGGCAGATAATAACTTTTAATGACTTGACATGTCCAGGGTCCGTACTCTCAGTGCATTAAGGGCGAATGGACCCTTATTTTGCCCAGAATACACACATAAAAATGGGGAAAAAACAAACACCAAAAACCAGAAAACTATTACATTTATTTCAACACTGTACCTTTGGTGATGAAGAGATGGAATAGTATCTAGCCTGTAACCGTGGTAACAGCTCACAAATATGGTCAATATTTGGCTGTAATGACTTCAGATCTTCCAAAATATGTAAAATAGTTCTGTGTGACTTTAGAACCCATTCTCCATATAAACTCTGAAATAATAAAACATTTTTTGTAACAGTCAAGTATGTTTTTACAAAATAATTTTCAAATCAAACAATCGGGGTTAAATTGTAGAAAGTCAACACAAACTGATACTATGAAATAAGACACAAAGCTTAATAGTCCTACGAAAATAAAAGTAAAATATTTTTCCTTTGAATTTAAGTTACATTAAAAATTTTCACTGTACATACCAGAGCAGAGGTTCAGTGCAAATGACTGTAGAAAAGATTTCATGATCAATCACAACAAAAGTGACCTGTGCCATCCGGGAATCGAACCAGAGTCGCCTGATTCAGTCTAACGCTCTACCTATTGAGCTAACCAGACGGCAAATTTACTAAATCAGCATTTAGTTTTCATACAAGTCAGCAGGTGTGAAAAATGAAGTTAATTTTCATTGTAAATTAAACTCATCAATACCTTTCCTTCAGGTGTAGGGGAGGTCAATTTCAGAAGGAACTCTTTATCTTTTTCATCTTCAGCATATTCGGCAAGTTCACGTAGAACGTGGGTACGTGGACAATGAGTGATATCGAGGTAGTGAAGTAAAGCAGTACGATATGAACACGGGTTTGGGAATGGGTGCTTCTTGCTGGCCTCCTCTGATAACAATAAAAGAAATCCATGTAAATAATTTTATATATTCCGTCAATTATTTATTTACTGGGGTAATACAATTTTTTCTGAACTTCCAAATGTTAACAGTCACACTAGTGGTCCACTTTCTTATTATAATTTTTTTTACGTTTCATAAAAATTATCAGCTACAAGATAGAGTACTGCATTTGAAGAATGTTAAAGTTTGTCAAAATACTTTTGACATTCCAAACCTAAAATCCGAGATATTTTTATTGTGTCGGAATCTCACAAACATAACCAAACACAAATTTTTCTCATTTTTAAACCCAAATACTGTTACAATATTATGTTAAAATATTATAAAAACTATATTGTTTCCAGCTAAAACATAATGGTAGGAACAAGAGTTGAAGCATATTGAGACAAACTGTACAGTATAAACAATAGAATAGAATAATGTATATTGTATATTAGCATACCATCAACATTGGTGAGTGTAAATACTGTATCTAGATCAATGTTAAGACGTTTTCCAATAGCCTCAACAATTTCTGTGTCATTGATAGGATAAACAGCAACATGGTCCCCAGCCTCGTATCTGTAATGTAGTGAATAGCAGTAGTATATAACGGGAACCAATCATGTCTGTATCAAATATAGGTAAAATAAAATTGTTAATTCTAATGTGTATGCTTGCATGGGTTTAGAGTATATATGTTATATATTATTATGTTATTATTACTGTATATATATCTGTGTAAATTAACATGCAATATTAAAGATTCTTCAACAAGTGACAATTATTTATACATTTTTATTTTTTTGATATATACTCAACTATAATTTTGATTCACAAACACATTGCTTCCCTTACCTTATTTTTGATCCAGAGATATCAAACTCTATGTGCATACAGGATCTGTCGCCACTTTTATGAAGCTCTCTGTTCACTTTAACAGGTGCTAGATATGGGTTCTTAGCATCAAAAGGTCTTAAAAGACAACAACAAAAAAATCATTTTTCACATTGCATTTGACTAGACTTGCATTTAGATCTTTGCAAAGATTTTTTTCATATTATAAATGTATCTTTACTCCACAAATGCCCACGCATGCAGCCAAAATTTTAAATGTTATAATTATATTAAATTCAAATTTGTTTACACAAACTATTTTTATAAAAAGTTCAAGGCCCTGAAACTATTCAGTGTTAACCATTTGCAAATTGCATATTTGTAGCCGAGATAATAATTAAATTGTATATTTTCAAATCTTTTCCAAGTTCAAGGCCCTGAAACTATTCCGTGTTAACCTTTTGCAAATTGCATATATGTAGCCGAGATTAAATTGTGACTTTTTAAATCTTTTCCAATTTCAAGGGGAATATCTGTCAAAAACATCTGACCATGACCAAATTAGAACTTGACTTGTATTTTCTGGTAAAATACCAGTACATGCAATGTCAACCTGGGACAAACATTCCTACCAAAGATAGAGCAGAAACTTTAGATTAGGCCTTAGATTATCAGTCTGACGCATTAACTACTGGGCCATGCTGCCACTTTTATTAAGATTGAGCAACCAACAGCACAAAGTATAGTCAGACTGCTAGCCTGGCTCAAACCTGATGGCATACACTACTACGGCCACTGGCACTGTACTGATTACTGGTGACATATCATGCTTACGGTCTTTGGTTTTCAAATGATCTCAGTCTCGCTATTTCTCCCTTGAATACTTTCTCAGCTGGCAAATTCTCATGAACTTCTAAGGTGTACTGGCGAACACTGTAACATGATCAAAAACATGTTAGATATTTAATATAGTCATGTATATTTTTTCTAAACTTAAGTTTTAAATTTTCTAAGCTTACATGCTTAATTTAGGCTGGATATAAAAAGGTAAAATAAAACAAGGATATCATTGGAATTGATAGAATGCTCTTCCAAAGTAGCACTTCAGATTAGAGAGATTGTGTTTGTTAGAAATGAGATTAGGAAAAGAGCAGTAAATATCTATATTGATCCAGTCAGAAAGTTTCAATTAATGAAAAAGATACAAATTTGGTAAACAAACTCAGTGAACCTGAACTTGCAGCTAAATATACCTGACTCCTCTTAGTAGTAAAGCTTTCTATTTAGTTTGTATAACTATAAGAAATCCCCTTGAAAAGCATTTCTCAAAATGAAATTAGTTTTTAGATTCTTCTAAAATTCCAATGTTGCATCTGTAAAAAAATACATCTTTAATTTTCTAAAAAATATTTGATTTCAAGCTTAATACAGATCTTTCCATTATTGTTTTTTTTACCCAAAACCACTTACTTTACTTGGTCTCCTGTAGCCTCTACTCCAAAATGCTCACAAACTGCAGGCCAAAACTTTTCTCTCCATGTAACAAAATCTTCCTCAATACTGAAAGTTTTGAAAAAGATCATATGCTGACTTCTCCAGTTTATTTCTTTTCCTTCTTTTGTTGTAATTTAATGCCATCATATACAATTTTAATTTATATAGGTGTGTTGGTTTCAAGCAAAACTCAACTGAATAGGGTAAATAGAATATTAAAACAAGATGGTCTTCTTTTATAGCCATGTCAAGGATTGAACCTTCAACCCTTTGCATTAGAGGTGGATATTCGACCCCTAGGTCACCTATTTATCTCCAATATAAACAAACTATAGACCCCAGTAAGTTTCCTCTTTAACCTCATGATGTCACATGCATGGTCTTTAAAAAATTGTACTATGAGAGATATGGAACCGAAGACTTCTCACCTTGACCATTTTGTCCATTATTATTCACACACTATATACTAATCTCACAGCTTCAAAGTTTGGCTTAATTAAAGCATCACACTTTCATATTCATTTTTTTTCATATTCATTTTAAAGAAATATTATACCTATTTTGACAAGTCAATATTTTTGACAGGTAAGTTTTGTCAAATGAACACATGAAGCAAATTAGCCTCTCTTTTAGCACTTAATATCCAATGAAGTTATTAAAACCTGACAAAATAAGCAGAAATAGTCCTTATTCTGACAATACAAAAACTGTCTGTATGACAGAACACTCAACTTTTCTCAGTTCCTTGACAGAAAGAAAAGGGGTATGATTGTAAAAAGGTAACTCAGAGTTATGAGATCTTTGGCCATCATATAAGATAATCCTAAAGAACAAGTCTGTGAAGTTACAACATATTTCCTTAAGTAGTTTTGGAAATATCAATTTGCACACAAAAACTTAACTAAAGTGTCATGGTGAGGCCAAGTAAGAATAGCTCTCCCTATACTGCAAATAGTCAAGCTTAAAAGGTTTGTAAAATGATGATATAAGCAGTGAATTCTGTCATATATCATATATGAAACAAACAGTGTCACTAGGTTCATGAATATTCAAACAATATTATACTATTGATGTATCATATATTTTAAATATTTATTTTCTCATCTGGAGGCTTGAAGTTTTAATCATTTTATTATTATATATCTTTGAATGAAGTTTTCATCATTTCATACATCTAACTATTATAGTAACTATTTTCTGATAAATTCATTATCAAGAAAGAATTTGTGTTTACAGAGTAAATCAATAACAATTACTATAATAAATCTTAGACTCTATAAACAAAAAGCATTATTATGAAAATATAAAGCTACATGATCTTTTTAACTTACTTGCCATCATCATCACCCTGACCTAGTTCAAAGACACGCTCCCCTCCTAGTTCTTCTATTCTCTTATCAACATATTTCCCCATTGCATTGTAATGCTCATATGTTTTATTTCCTAATGCAAAAACCTGTAATAAACAATTCCTTAGATATACTTTTTCTGAAAAAAACCACACAAAACATCCAGTCATCACAGATCATGACCCATTTTGCCTATTTGATCATTTACTCTGATTTCATGTATATTTCAAATAACAAAACATTTTAAAGGGACTCCACCGACATTTATGACATGACAAGACTGATAATAAATTTTCAAGATTAATGTTTAATTTGATGTACATGTAGGTCTAGATTTGGTAACTTAGTGATCGTTTGCTCACTCTGTTTTTCCAGAATAAATATTCTAATTTTGAAAAATTACACAAAAATGAAAAGCAATGCAGGGCCTGCAAAAATATGATTTTGAACTACTAGTCCGTTTTTCTTTGAAGCATTTCTTAATTAATTCCTGTATATCATCTATATAGTAAATTCCTGAAAATTTTCACTTGTCCAAGCAGTAGGACAACCTGTGCCTTATGGACATTTGATTTTTCGGCACCTGCACTGCAACGTTTTTCTCTCAAATTGGCTAAGAATTGCAAAAAATATATGATTTTCAATGTATTTCTGAGTATATTTCTTAATTATTTTTTTTTCATTCTTTTTTTAGTGCCCCAGCTGACTTATGTAAGAAATTTACTTTTTATGTTTTTAGGCTTTTGAATCTCAGTAGAGCTCCTTTAAAGTTTGGTCTCTAATGGATTAAACTGAATCTATATCATCTACTGTAATGATTCACTAAACCATGGTTAAATAAATATTAAACACATTAATTCATTGACATATCTAGATATTCTATCAATTAAGAAAAGAAACTAAAATGATTTCTTCTTCTAATATCTAATAGCTATACATTTTTGCCACATCCCCTTATAATTAGCACTGTCCTCTAAAACTTCCCCATGGCTACCCCCCTTCTTTATAATTTCAATGAGTAATATTGATGAAAATAATAGATTACAAGCATATTTTTTCATTCCATCTGTCATATCAAAGATTAACCATTTCAAGAGACTTTCCAAGAAATTGCTTATCAATGCTTTCAAAGATGTAAGGTTTCCTCCAATATACACTATATTTGATTTTCCTATATTACTATGTTATGTTATGTTGTATATATGTAATGTCCTCAGGAAAAATAAAGTTTCTTCCACTACTTCACAGAAGTCATATCTCATATAGAAATTACAGACAACCTTTCAGACAGAGAAAGAATAATTTCAGTACAGACTTGAACAAAGGAAGAAGAATATTTCATGACTAGCATTTCCCTTGAATTACTTCTTAGGTTTCACACCTAAAAGAACAGATAATAACATAATTGTATTTACTTCTTTTAATTCAAATTGCCTGCATATATTTTGTTCACCTTTTAATGTTTGTAAGTTTATAAATAATGCTTCTTTTACAAAGTTTCCATCTTTTCTAGTATTATCTTTATTTACATTTTATTCCTTCAAAATATTTTCCTACTCTTACACTTCTGTAAAAAATTTCTACTAAGTTTATCATGTCAATTAAAAATTTCTACTAAGTTTATCATGTCAATTAAAATCAATTATCATTTATTTCATATATTCTCTATCCACTGAAAGGAGCTTTCTTATTTTGCCTAGGCCATCATTATCACAGTATATTAACAATTCTACTCCCTGTTATGGCTAGAAAGATTCAAATTAAAAAATATAGCATCCAAAGCATTAAAGGTAAAGGGATTTTGTTTATCTACTGTAATTATAGAGCCAGACAAGTTGTTAACCATTAGGTCTAACCTAAAGGTTCATATCAAATCTCTATAGATCCCATATAGCATTGTTTTCATTTCTTGAGTCCAAAAGGTTCATATCAAATCCATATCATACCCTATCTAGCCTGATTTTCATTTTTTGAGAGTCCAAAATACATTTCAAATTTTATTGTAATTGAAGTAACAATGTTCTGTTAAATATGTCAAAAAACTATGGTGTGAAATAAAGAGATCATTAAACATGGTTGAGAACAATACTGATTCTACTGTACTCATTTACAGTCAAAAAACCTATATCAGACTCAGCTAGTGCTTTGTCCAATATAGGTTTGACAACTGTGTACTCGTCCAATAGAATTTAGTATTGAACTCAACAATGTTTAAAAACCTCTTAGTCTCTTAGTATCAACATACTGTCAAACCATATTTGCCTTTGCCTCTTTCAGATTCAGATAAAATAATCATATTATATCAACATATTGTTAAACAATTTTTGATTTTTTCACTTCATTATCATTATTATACTGTCATAGAATATCATATACATTACTGTATTAATTGGGACTTAGCCTTATTTAATTGAACTTTATGCATAGATAACAGTATGCTAATTTCTATTGTGTGCATATGTATATTCATAATGTACTAATTAATATTCTAAAATGTACATTATACAAAAAGATTCTGTAGGAGATATTGTAGGAGATAAACTTAAAGTTGAATCTAGTGCACAAAATATAGGTTGATAGGTACAGGTGCACTATAAATACGCCACAAGTTTAAGAGCAAAACCATATTTACACAAGCCTACAAGTTTAGTACAAATACAGCTTTAGGCAGGCAAGAAGTGTGAAACAATCCACCAGAATAGCCTTATTTTCACTTTTTCTTTTATACATTTTGTGAACGTGAAAGTATAATCTGAACAAATCTGAATTATTTTCTTAAAGAACAGTCATGTGAAAATATAACATCAGTAACAATTTCTGACATAATGACTTGAACAAAACAAGGTGTAGAAAACAGATAAACAATCCGGATGTCTGTATTTCTTTTCTTGAGAATATATAATGAGTAAGTGGTGAGTACAACTAGTAAGAGAGGGTGCTACAATTTCTATTTGTATGATGCTCTAAACAAATATGATGGTACAACAAAATATGACGGTCCAACAAAATATGATGGTCTAACAGAATATGACATGTCAAACAAAATATTACGGTTTAACAAAATATAAACTTACAGCAAACTTAACGCCTGTAAGCTCTACATCGCCCGTCTGCAACCATTCATAAAACTCCTGGGCGTTGTCTGTAGGATCACCTTCACCGTATGTTGCCATACAAAATATTGCCATTCCATTCTCTAACTCTGTTAGCCGAGCTAAATCCTCCTACAATACAATAACATACATCATGTCACTCATCAGTCTTTTTTATTATTTTCAACTCCATGAGAAAATATCAATCTTATTATGATTTTAAATCTCCTAGGAAAAATATTAGTCCTTTGTTAGGAAACAAAAATTTTCTTTTTCAGCTAAAAAATAGTAATGATATTCATTTTGTTACACATTTTGTTACTCAATGTTTAATTCAACAATACAACTCCTATGTGATTAACTTCGATTAGTCGATTTTCTTGATGTGTCAAAATCAAATGAAAGTCGCTATAAGATAAGCGCGTGATAAAATGTTTTGAAAATGCCTGATTTATTTTATTGATTAATAATTATCTTATAGTGTGAACAAACTGTTCATACCATTTCACACTCTTCTGGATCAGCTACCATGCCTTTCATTCCATACCCAGCACAATCTTTTGCAAGTCGACCTGCAAACTCTTCAGCTGTGCCTGTCTGGGAACCATAGAAAACCACAACGTTCCTGCCCTTTATAGAAACAATATTAAAACATAAGATCCAGATGTTTAGACCTACAATAACTGGTTAAAAACATACCACTAGTAACCCAGCTAAATTCAGATATATCTTTTACATTCCTTTCTTGCTGGTACTAATATGTACCCATCTACTTTACAGGGACTAAGATCTAAGGTCTTTTGACATAACAGGATAGAAAACATAAGACATTTTAAACCGTTTGATGGAAGACTATACCAAAAACTTGTACAATACAGTTTACTTTACTTTACCAGAACAATTATCTTATTTTGCTAAACGATCTAAACATGATAAGCATTAACACTTTTAACTCAAATCGGGGTGAAACTTACACTACAAAATGATTTTTAATTAAGTTGTGAATTTTTTTTTTTTTTCATATTTTTTGTCTGAAGTGCCATAGTTGATGTATCTAAGATTTTCAAATTTTATGCGTTATGCTATTTTAAATCCCAGCAGAGCTTCTTTAAGAAATGACAAAGCTTCTTTCTAAATGACAAACCAAATTTTACTCTTATCATGACTGAGAATGATTACATTTAGCAGTCAAATATGATATGATATTTTTCAGTTTTTTTTTTTTGTTGTTTTTTTTTTGGGGGGGGGGGGGGGGCGTGGGGGGGAAGGGTTGTTGTTTGGGTTTTTTGTTTTGTTTATTTAAGTGTAAAGAGCAATAACTTAAAAATATTTTCCTACAATTTATCAACAGTTAAACAGTTAAATTTTATTGCTTTTGTAATCCTATGGTCGATTCTCGAAAAAGTTGAAGTATAGAATGTCTCTGTTATATATACACATGAATATTGTACATATTGTATGTAAACCAAATAAAATGCTCAGGAACAAAATATTATTCTGCTAGGGTTTCATTCATTTAGCAATGATTTCATGCTTATAAGGCAAATTGACTTACATATCTATTTCATACATGCAGTTTGGAAGTATTTTTATTCATATTCAAACAACAAATAGTGAAGCAGATATAATGGCTTTATAAAATTGAAAGTCAGACCAGCATCATTATGATCACATGGTAACCTTCCAGCTTTACTTTAAGAAAAAAGACATCAGGTGTGTTTCAATGCATTAGTTTACCAGAAGTAGATTAATTAAAACATAGTTATTAAAATGTGAATAATCAAAATGCCATATGGTACCTCTGTATCTCTAGAGTAAATAAACTCTAAATGTTATAAACTAGTATTAAATCTTGTTATTCCTGTCAGTGAAAAGTGTTTGTCAAGTTACAAATGCCTTTAACAACCCCTCTCTTCTTGACTAATGGTCAAATTCTAGCCGCTTGACCAATGATGCATTATTTATCATTTTTTCTGGTTGGGTATTATGTGGCACCATCACAGTATAGGTCATAAGGCAATTTTCCAGCTTTACTGGTGGAGGAAGCACCTCAAGTGTAATAATTTAACGAAACCATTAACTTTGAACAAAATAAGTTCTATTTTTATTATTTTTTAACAAATTTATGATATACAAATATTGTGGCCTTTATTAATACTATGCGCACAATTTATTTCTAAAATACTGAAAAATGGCAGATATTGTTTTTATTTCACATTTTTTATTTTTAAGAATAAAAGTTACGCACCAAGACCATAAAAATATAGTGTATACAAATATAGTGTATACAAATATAGTGTATACAAATATAGTGTACATGTATCTAACCGATTGTTGTAATCTGAAGTCTAGACAACCAAAGAAACTGACTGTAATTCAAATATAAAACAGATGTTGTATTCAAATAAATGCCTACAAGTTCCTCATACAATATTTCAATATTTAAAGAAATATTAAAATTGGGAAAAGATTGTTTACAAAGGACTTACAGAATTCTTCATTTTATTGATAAAGCTTGGGTCATATGACGAACTTCGTGCCAAAGGTCTGAAATATAATAAATAAATAAAATAATCACAACATAAAAATAAACAAGAGCTGTCAGTATGGCAGCTTGCTTGACTATTTTAAGTGCTTGATAATATAACAACAGAGTGAATAATGTATAATTTTCTAAGTTCAAAAAGGCCCATAATTCTGTCAAAATCCATGTTAGTGTTGGGCCATGTACAGTGACCTTCTATTATGCTCTCAAATAAATGTGTGACGTTTCAATTATTCCCTTTAGAGGTTTTAGGGATATCAACTTGCACAAAAAACTTAACCAAGGTGTGATGGTTTCCAAACTTAAATATCATCAACTTTGTTTGTAGTCCCTCAATTCATTTATGAAAATATTACCAAACTTTTCTCAATGAAAAGTGAAACGGAACCAAAAGCTCTAAATAAGCAGATTATAAGTCTCTCAGTGTACTTGAAAGGCAAAATGTTCAAACACCCTCAATGAAAGAAATTGTCCTTGTACCCATAATAGAATTAACTGATATATCCAATCTTCAAACTATAATTACTCAAGCATGATATATGATATACATGCATGTCTAGATTTTATCATTTTAATCTCTATGCAAAGAAGCTGAAACTGATGTGTTTTTTTATTATTATTTTCAATTTTATTTTTTGGCATATTTCAAACATACAATCTGAAGTTTTGACTGTACTGGTCTTTTTAATGAGGAAATATGGTGATTACCACCATAGGGCTTGAACCTACAATCCCATGAACCTAAACAACTAGGACAAGAGCTCATATAAAATAAACATTGCTAATATTCAGTGTCATTATTATAAATACTGTTCACAAAGTAAATTTATTTGAGCCGTGTCACGACAAAACCAACATAGTGCATTTGCGACCAGCATGGATCTAGATCATGGATCTAGATCAGACTGCGCAGATGCATCTGGATCCATGCTGGTCGCAAACCCATTATGTTGGTTTTGTCGTGACGTGGCTCATATTTCTATCATACTCACGCAACTGTCAACTTTTTAAACGTGGGTTGTTCTTTCTGCTTATTCTTGAAGAAGTACCAATAGACAGCCATTCCAGCCATGAGTGAGAGAATGAAGAAATCTAAATTGGAAAAATAAGCTCCCGATTCTGCTTCTGCCTCTTCTGCCATCTTTTAAATCTTATTTGTTCTTCTCTCTCTCTTTTTTGGCACAGAATTCTTCCAATGATGATGTTAATGATGTCTAGTTATGGTTTCTTCCTTTGTTTCTGAAATACAGGTTGTTAGATATAAATATATAAGTAGTCTAACAGCAATTGTAAGAAAGTCAAAACATCACATAAATAACAGAACAAAACCTTCTTTCACTTCTTTCTTTCTCACTGTTTAAAAGCAGAACAAGTAAAAATCTGGTTTACAACTATGAGTTCAATTACCAGGAAATCTCTTATAAAGAAATATTGTAACAATTGATTTATTACACAGATAATGAAGTTAAAAAAAATTCCAAACTAAAAACATGCTTTGACAAAAATAACAATTACTAGTAACACTGAAGAAGACTGGTGGTGACGTGGATATAAAACATCAGATTTGAACAGTTCTGTGTATAATCCTATTAACATTTTCGGTTGAGTAGATATGTGTAGATGCAATAAAAGTTATATACAACTCCCATGTTAAATTCAGTGTAAATTAAGTGAATTCTAGTGAAATTCTTACAAAAACTGTAAAATTTCACACACTAGTATACTGTATTACAGTAGCTAACAAGTCCATTTACAATGTATTATCATACAAATTAAACACTGCTGATTACATACTCTAAACTACAATAACCCTGATCACCCTAAATATCATTAATGGACTAATCCACTTATAAATCTGGACAAAACCATTCATCATTTTTAGGAAAAAATTGCAAATGAATAGATAACAGTGCTGACCATGATCAGACAGCATTGATGTGCCAGGTTCAGTCAGTTGAAATGTTGTTGTTATGAAATATTGATCAATATTTATTTCATCAAAACACTGCCCACACATTAATAACAAATTAAAAATAAATCACTTAACATCTATTATTTCTTACCTTTTTTCTCAGTACTTATTTAATCATGCTTTCATCAAATTGTTAAATTTGTCTAACTTTAAAAGATTTTATTTCTTAATTTGCTGTATAAATATGTAATGATTCTGTTTTTAGTTTTTTGTAAATACTTCAAATTTGAACTCTATATATACAATTTTTTGTTACATTGCATCACATCAAGAATTTTATGATATATATCTTAACAATTTACATCATAATGCTGTGATATACAGAGGAAAAGTTTAATAATACAACTTACAATAAAGAACCTCCTATGTTTAAAATCCTTTAATATTATACTGTACGTAATACTTCTATTTCCCTGCAAGGCTATAATTATGAATTTAATGTGAGCACTTTCACTTAAACTTGAAACATATTTATTACAACTTTCATTTGTATCATGTACTGAATAAATTCACAAATGACTGGTGACGTGAATTATCAGAAGTTAAAATGAAGGTCACATAAGTAATGTGTAAATAAATGTACAGATACTAGGTCACGTATTTAAATATGCATTTATCATGACTGGTGTCTGCCAATTCATGAACTTGAATAATGTGGGCTACAAAATGACCTTTCTGTACTCTTTCACAGGTTTATTTGCTGTCTTTCTCTATTCTTTTATAAGAAAAAAATTATGCCTCAAGAGATTGCCCCGATGATATTTAACGCTTATTACAAGAATCATACTGGATTCATTATCTCCTAATGGTATGAATGCAGAAGTTTTGTACAATATATAACTTTGTCATCTTTCAAGCATATTATTGAGCCAGTATATATATTATGTAGTATGTTTTCTCTTGTATCAAGGTTTTTTTTTATTATTATTAATTATGAGAATTTTTTTATCACATGTGCAGATCCATTATTCTATGTATAATTTAATGTATTTGTCACTTGTTATTTTATAAATTCATTTTTTTTCTGAAGAAGACTAAACGTCGAAAGCTATAGAAAAGCATTTGTTTTCCTTGAACTGATTATATAGGAGAAAAAAGTAGAAACTATGAGATTAATATTCATTATGTTAGTATAAATCTGTTGAATTGCAAAACTTTTAAGAAAAGTGTAAATAAAACATAGAAAACTATTACTCTTCACATCACATAACTTCAATTATATTATTGTAAAATTTTACTTTCAACATTATTTTCTTTAATGGCACAGAGAGTGACATCTAACTGTACTGTTATATTAACCCTGAACTTACTGATTTTTGTAATGGATTAGCCCTTGCACTGAAATTGGAACAGTCGATCCATTCAAAGTTTATGGGAGTTTATTATTGAAATACAAATATTGACCTACATGTACCACAGTATAGAGCTTGGTAAGACTGCATTATAATGCACACTGGCCTTGGTCTAAACATGGTGGCAAAGACTTATCACTTTTAGTCCCAGCGGATAAGGTTAAAGCATTTAAATGCTACTGTTGTGTTGACTCCCTGTTTTGTCTTTAAATCAACAAGAGCCATGTCAACATGGCCATCCCCGCCGAATGGGTTTGCACATTGGAAGAATGTATATGTAGTAGAGCAGATAATTCAATTTTAAGAGGTCTTTTGGTAATGAAAACTGATGGCTGAAGTGATTACAGATTTGAAACCTATGTGAATACTGATGGCTGAAAATAACAAAGGACAATAACTGAAAAAATAATGCAGGGTAGGTTATCATTCTTGTATGCTGCATCCCTCCTCAGTAAAATCTACCTACCTATGAAGTTTCAAGTTGATACCTCAAATACTTTTTGAGATAAGCTCCGGACAAAATAGTATGAAAAAGAACAAAGGGCAATAACTCAAATATTTTATAGGGTAGAGTTATCATTCTTGTGCACAGCATTCCTCCTCAATAAGATCTACCGGTATCCACCTATGACAATTCATGTTGACATCTCAAACACTTTTGAGTTATGCTCCACTCAGGTGAAAAATTAAGTATGAAAAATAACAAAGGATTATGAAAGGTAGAGTTATCATTCTTGTGCACTGCACACCTCCTGAGTGAGATCTATGCACCTATGAAGTTTCATGTTAACATCTCAAAGGCTTTTTGAGTAATACTCTGGACAAAAATTAATTTTGAAAAACAACAAAGGGCAATAACTCAAAAATTATGCAGGGTAGAGTTATCATTCATGTGCACTGCACTCCTCCTCAATGAGATCCATCCACCTGTGAAGTTTCAAGTTGATACCTCAAATACTTTTTGAGATAAGCTCCAGACAAAATAGTATGAAAAAGAACAAAGGGCAATAACTCAAAAATTATATAGCGAAGAGTTAACATTCTTGCGCACAGCATTCCTCCTCAATAAGATCTATCCACCTATGACATTTCATGTTGACATCTCAAACACTTTTTGAGTTATGCTCTACTCAGGTAAAAAATTAAGTATGAAAAATAACAAAGGGCAATAACTCAAAAATTATTCTTGTGCACTGCACTCCTCCTCAATGAGGTCTATCCACCTATGAAGTTTCAAGTTGATACCTCAAATACTTTTTGAGATATGCTCCGGACAAAAATGTCGGATGGATGGACTGATGGAAGGACAGACGGACGGAGACTTTTTCTATATCAGATAAGAATTGATGTAAAACTGAAAGTGTGACTGGCAAAAAATAGTAGTGTACTTCTTTCCTTTGCTTCAGAAATAATTTATGTACAGACTTAATGGTCAAGTTGTGAAATCACAAAGGTCAAGATAATTTGAAACTTCAGATTGAAGAAGTGTAGATTCAAAACAGCTACAGGTGAGGTCTCCAAATAACATAATGGAAGAAATGTACACATACAATATAATTACAGATTTTATCGGGATAAGATGAATCAAAATTAAAATTTTCTGATGACAATTTAAAAAAAACTTTTTTCTGTGTAAAATATTTATTCATATTTTATAACATTGTCATCTCTACAATCATAAAAAAATCACCAGCAATAAATTAATTCCAGCGTTCCTGGTGCAAGAATTATACAAAAGACAATCAAGAGGCACTCCAGGAATATTTGAATTTAAAAAAGTAACCTTTAATACAGTTGAAGAAAGTCGCTGTACACAACAAAGATCTACACCATGCAGTAATAATAAAAACATTATAACAGAAACATAAAGGGAAAAACTAGAACTTCAAGCACTTAAAAATACAAAGTTAAACCCAAAGAAACATCAACAAATATACAACACCAAACATCACCAGAGTTCAACCCATGTTCCAGTAACAAAACCATTTGCCAAGACCAATACTTCATGCATTATAACAAGTAAATGAACAGTTTATACAAGTATATATGTATTAAGCATTTCTGGAACTTATAAAAGAAATAGATAGAACATTCAACAAGAGCCACCACGCTGAAATTTTTCATTATTTCTTAAATCAAACACATCATTGGAGGAAAACTATTGTAGTAAAGAATACTGTCTCCTAGAAAATATTATTTCATTGTACAAAAATATAACTCAAATTTCATATATGGCATTAAAAGTCAATGTTATTCAAAGGTCAAGGTCACATTTTAATAAATAACCATGTCAATTTTGTTATGAACGTTTTTTTTTTCCAAGAATGAATCAAATCCATAAATAAATAACAAAGTTTTGACAATTCAAGCACATTTCAATTATTTGACCCTGAAGGTCAAACTTCAGTTAGAGGACAAAGTTATATCAGAATAATTCAACATGCTGGTTTTGTCATATGTGTTTTGGGGGGTTTTTTTGTCTAAGTATACCAGGGTAAATCAAATCCGGAAATAAATAACAAAGTTTGGACAATTTAAGCAAATTTCAATACTCTGACCCTGAAGGTCAAGATCAGTTAAAGGTCTAAGTCACATCAGAATAATAAGATTTTTCAATAATTTAACCTTGATGGTCAAGGTCAAATATATAAGTAATAATAGTGATTATTATAAAGACTTAACGCGTATTTGAAGAGGTTGTTAGGCAAGCCTATGAGCCTCTAATATATACCTTTAAGGTCTACAGTTACAAAAGAAACAACAAATATTAACAATAGTTATATACATCATACAAAAACAATTCAAAAACACTTAAAAAATAGAATACAAAAGCAAAAGAAAATTAGGCAGCTGGGAAGCGGCTACCTTTCCATTTTCATAAGGGTAGAATATAAATATAAAACATTTTAAGTTTGATAATTATGTAATTTTTATAAGACAATGTAACTATGTGTGATTTTACAGTTGGAATTGTTTAATTCCCACCAGAGAACCCCAATTTCAAATAACTATGTTTGAATGTTTGTAAGTTGGTGGGATTTCTTATATTTAAAGGGAGTTCCAGTTTTGAACCTGAATATGATAGGAATTTTATTGCAAAATGTATGTCTTTTTCAAACAGTTTGATAGTAGGAAAATAGTTACTTAAATGGGTCAAGCATTCATGCTTAACTGTTTAGATTAGGCTATCTTAGATCTAGTTTGCTGTAGCAGAATCAAAAACAGTTACAAAGAAGTTATTACGTTTTATGTTTTACTCAATCATTTTTTTTTTTTTTTTTTTTTAAAACCTTCATAGTATTGAATTTGGATGAAACATGTCAAATTTACATGATATTTCTTGACAATGTGAAAAGAAGTCTATATTGCAAAAGGCGTGGAAAGAACCTTTTTTCATTTATTTTGAATATTTATTATACAGATTAAATACAAATATCTGTGTCGCTGATTTTCAGCTTTCAAATATACCCAAAATTGCTTGATAAATATCTAAATAAAACATTTTTGAAGACTAGAAATGTGTCATCATGCCACGGATGCCCCCGCATGCAGCCAAAATTTCAAATGTTATAATATTTAGTTCCAAATTTGTTTGCACAAATTATTTTTTTCATTCTATGTTCAAAGCCCTTAAAACTTTTCAATGTTAACACAAACCATTTTTATACAATGTTCAAGGCACTGAAATTATTCAGTTTTAACCTTTTGAAAATAGCATATTGCATATTTGTAGCCAAAATAATGGCTACATACATTTCCACAAAAGTACGAGTGCTGAAACTGAAAGTTCAAAATTTTTCCAACATTCAGGAAAGATAAGTTTGAACAACGTCCAAATTCCAACTTAAACTGCTTATTCCTAAGATGTATCTATATTATTTTCAAAGTGAAAGGGACATAACTCTGCCAAAAAATCATCGAACCATGACCAAATTCCAACTTGACCTGCGCATTTCTTTGACATATCCATATGTCAATTTTGAGTTGAATATGTAACACTGTTGGGTTGATAATGAACAGAAACTGTAAATTTCATATCATTTTCAAAGTGAAAGGGGCATTACTCTGCCAAAAATCATTGAACCATGACCAAATTCGAACTTGGCCTGTGCATTCCAAAAATATATCCATATGTCAAATTTGAGTTGAAAGTGTGATA